GTCCGGCGTTTTCCAGGCAGAGCCAAAGGCCATGGCGTCGGGGGCTTGCTGGCCGCTGGGGAGGAGCAAATCGTCGTCGCGTTCCCCGTTGTAGTTGCCACAAAGGCCGCAAAGGTGGCCCCGGTAGCTCTGAGGGACCGTGACCATCACGTGGTGGAGGAGGTCGTAGCGTACGACGAGGCCGAAGTCAGTCTGAAGCAGGACGCCCGTGCCGTGTTGGTGCACTTGGACTTGGCCCTTGCTCAGGATGGCTGGGAGGTGGTGGGATATGGAGCCCACCTGGGACGGGGAGAGAAAAAAATAAAAAACCCTCCGGTGAGCCTCAAGGATTTTACCGGGAGAAGACCGTGGAGGTCGGAGCCAAAAAAAAAAAAAATCATGGAGGAAAACACCTTCCAACCAACCTTTGAATGAATTCATGGCTCCCACTTTGCAATTGGAAGACAAAGCGGGGCTGAGCTTGGCTTAGGCTCGGAGTTAGGGGTGAGTTCTCCCCTCCATCGATTTAAACCAAGTTTTGGGGCATTTAAACCAACTTTTGGGCACCCCCACAAAGAGGCGGGCCACAAAACGTGGCCTTTACTGCGGCCACATGGCTTCACGCCAGGGTCAAGGCGGGCCTGCAGACTTTGCCGGCAGCACGCTGGCCACCCAAACGAGTGCTTCACTCTCCGCCACGACCGGCCCCTCCTTGCCTCACCCCGAGGTCGACGTGACCCTGCAGACGTTTGCCACCAAAATATTTGCCCTCAGCGAGAGACGGGCCACGAGGCCCGGACCGACCGCGACGGGTCCCCGCTGGCCTCGTGTCGAGGACAACGCGAGGCCACCGGCTTTGTGGCTTTGCGTCCAGAGAGAGGTGGGCCACAAAGCCCGACCTTACCGTGACGTCTCCCCTCTTGCCCCGTGTCAAGGTCAAGGCGAGGCCGTAGACTTCAACGGACAACTCTTCGATGCCGGAGACCTTCCTCTTCTGGCGGGCTTCCTTCTTGATTTTCACAACAAAGGGTTTGACAACGTCGTCACCACCACAGGTCTCCGTGAGGATGTAGGAGCAGGCGCCCGGGATGTTAAAAGCCATCCCATCGAAGGACAAATAGCTGCGGTCACCGGTGGCCAGGCAGGCCCCGAGCGTGGCAGGTTGGCATTGGAAGACGCCATCAACGATTTTCCCTTGGCTGCCTTCGGGGCACGAAAAATTTCGGCAGGCCACAGCGCCGCCGCTCCGGCACTGACATTGCTCCTGCTTGGTGGGGTAGAAGGTCTCCTCCACCTTGTAGTAGAAACCCCGATCGAGGCACCCGCACTGGGACACGGGGACGCACTGGTCGCCGCTGAGCACGAAGCCTTCGTCGCACACGCAACCCTCCCTGCACCTCCCCGAACATTTCACCGGCGCGTGGATGCTGCCGCAGATCTGGCTGCAGCTCTGGGAGCAGAGCTCGTAGTGGCTGTTGGCGGGACACGAAATACCTGCCCGAGGGGACAAGGAGGTTCGTTAGGAGCCAGGAAACGACGGGCCCAATCCTACAATCTTCCTCCAGTGCGTCACCCGGCGACGACGTTCACCGGATGTCCATTATTTTATTTATTCATTTATTTATTTATTTATCTAGCTACTTATTTATTTATTTATTTATTTATTTATTTATTTATTTAATTAATTTCTTCACGATTAAATCCCGTCTCTTCCTCCCCGGTGACACGGTGAGGGGAAGGCGTGTCCGCAAGGGACATTTCCACCCTTCCGAGGTGGCAGTTTTAAGCCCCTAAATCACCTGATTTTCCCCGTTGTCGTGGAGGACGTTGCCTCAAGCGACAGAACCGCTCGCACGTTGGGTACCCAACTCCCAGGGCAGGTGGTTTTTTGTTTTTTTTTTTCCCTAATTTAGATATTTTCGGTGTGTTTGGGGCTCTGAGCCCTCGAGACAATTACCCCTCGCTCTCGTTTTAGGCAACGCAACCAAATTCAACTCCTCTGGGGGTTAAATGATTCGCTTTGTCGTAGCCGGATGAGGCATCTTATTCCCTGGAGAGGTTTGGGTGTTGGTTGTATAAAAAAAAAAAAAAAAAAAAAAAAAAAAAAAAGATGATGGGACCAAGCTGGACTTGGGCCGGGATCAAGCACCACCGAGTGGGATGATTTATGGTTGGACTGGATGATCTCCGAGGTCTTTTCCAACCTGGATGATTCTGTGATTGTCCACCTTTGGTTTGTCCCCGCACGGGCTTAACCCAGGACTGGGGTTCCCTTTGATCCTCCCGACCTTTCGTGATGGTAAAAAAAAAAAACAAAAAAACCAAAAAACAAAAAAACCCCTCCAATAAGCCCAACTTACTGCAGAAATCGTTCGTCCTCCATCTCTCGACGGTCACGCCGGCGGCCTGGCAGGCCGAGGTGTAGCGGGCGATGACGGGACATATCGCACCTTCCTGGTCCGGGAAGAGGCAAAATTCATGCACGCAGCTTTGGAAATATTTGGCGGGGTCCACGTGAGCGTGACAAGACCCGAAGGGTCCGTCCTCTTCCAGCATGATCCCACAAGCCTTCTTGGAAACCCGCTGCTGCTGCAGAGCCGCCTCGGGGGCGGGACATTCCACCTGCGAGCGCTCCACGCAACCGGGGACGTCGGTCACCTTCCAGCTGTGCCCGAAGGCGTCGGGGTCGGACGTCACGCGGCCGTTTCTCATCGTCATCTCGTCGCCCGCGTCGCCGTTGTAGTTTCCGCAGAGGCCGCACAGGGCGTTCGCGTAAGTGCCGGGCGCCGAGACGGTGACTTGGCTTTGCCAGTCGTAGGTGACGGTGAGGCCGAAGTCCGTCTCCACCGACGCTTCCAGCCCAGCTCGGTAGATGAAGATCTGCCTGTCTTTGTGGTG